TCCCGGCCGACTCCAGCACCTCGTCTCCTGTTGGCTCTCCAGCCAACACCAGCCCCCCGAGTCTTGTCGGCGTACCGGCCGACTCCAGCACCTCGTCTCCTGCTGGCTCCCCAGCCAACGCCAGCTCCCCGAGTCTTGTCGGCGTACCGGCCGACTCCAGCACCTCGTCTCCTGCTGGCTCCCCAGACGACGCCAGCTCCCCGTGTCCTGTCGGTGTACCGACCGACACTAGGTCCCTCTTTAGTCCCCTCTCTAGTCCCTCCTTTAGTCCCCTCTCTAGTCCCTCCTCTAGTTCCCCTCGCGAGTCCCCTCGCGAGTCCCCTTCTCTAGTTCCTCCTATAGTCCCTCCTCTAGTCCCTCCTTTAGTCCCTCCTCTCTCCTCTAGTCCCCTCTCGAGTCCCCTCTCTAGTTCCCCTCTCGAGTCTCCTCTCGAGTCCCCTCTCGAGTTCCCCCTTGGTTCCCCTCTCGAGTCTCCTCTCGAGTCTCCTCTCGAGTCCCCTCTCGAGTCACGTCTCAAGTCCCTACCCAATGTCCTGTCTCGTTGGAGGTCCCGCCGACTACTCTCCTGCCGGGGGTCCTGCCAACCCTTTGTCCTGTGCCGTTGGAGGCCCCGCCGACTACTCTCCTGCCGGGGGTCCTGCCAACCCTTTGTCCTGTCCCGTTGGAGGTCCCGCCGTCTACTCTCCTGCCGGGGGTCCTGCCAACCCTTTGTCCTGTCTTGTTGGAGGTCCCGCCTTCTACTCTGCTGCCGGGGGTCCTGCCAACCCTTTGTCCTGTGCCGTTGGAGGCCCCGCCGACTACCCTCCTGCCGGGGATCCTGCCAACCCTTGGTCCTGTGCCATTGGAGTACCCGCCGACTACTCTCCTGCCGGGGGTCCTACCAACCCCTTGTCCTGTTCCGTTGGAGGCCCCGCCATCCTCTGTCTCGCCGGGGGTCCTGCCAATCCCGTGTCCTGGTCCTCTTCCGTGGGGGATCCTGCCGAGGTCTGTCCCACCAGCTCCGGTTCCTGTCCGGCCGACACCGGATCCTGCCCGGCCTCCGGCGCTGGCCCGTCAGCGCCTTCCTGCCCGGCCTCTGGAGCTCTCTGGTCTTCGCCCTCGAGCCCGGCCCCCTGAGAGCCGCGGTCTTCGCCCTCGATCCCGGCCCTCTGTGAGCCGTGGTCTTCGCCCTCGAGCCCGGCCCCCTGAGAGCTGCGGTCTTCACCCTCGATCCCGGCCCTCTGTGAGCCGTGGTCTTCGCCCGCGATCCCGGCCCCCTGACTCTTCCTGCCGCTGCCCTCGTCCTCGAGCCCGGCCCCCTGACTCTTCCTGCCGCTGCCTTCGCCCTCATGCTCGGCCGACCGAGTCCCCCACCTTAGACTCTGCCTTGCCCCCGGGCCGTCCGCCCGAATCCCCCTTTTTGAACTCTGCCTTGCCCCTGGGCCGTCCGCCCGAGATCCCTTCCTGGTCCTCTGCTGTGCCTCTGGGCGGTCAGCTCTGTTTTGTCGTTGTTATCACCTAGCCTTGAAATAAAGGAATTGTCACTTTATTCTGCATTTGGGTCCTACCTGCTTCACACACCGTGACATATATAATGACTAGAGTCATCATTTTGAGAAAAAGGCCTTCAAAGTGTCCTCTTCTCTGGATCGATCTGATTGACTATTAGCGGAGCAAATGATCAAAATACTACGCACGGAAGATATTTTCGTTTGGATTACTGGTCTGGGGGAAACTTGCGAGTGTGTGTGTTTGTGTATTTTGTGTACACCGGCTGTTGTTATGCCTGCTGTAACGTTAAGTTACTCCGTTCTCCGCTTGTAATTATGCCGTTACAAGCTTCAAAGCTGTATTTATCATCTGAATTTGCCGAAACAAGTATAATATTCTGAAAGCCAAGACTTTGTTTATTTGAAATCAGATAAAAACAAACTGTAACGGACCCTGCCGTGTTATCTATGATTACTATATGCCTTACATTCATAATTTCAGTGGGAGGGAGGAGGAGCGGCGCTGAGGAAGAGCAGAGTGGCGAGTGAGAGCTGTCATCTTCCCTTTACAAGCTTAAAAAATGCCTGTAGCTAATGAGATTGAATATAACAATACAAAATAACAAAATATAGCCTACACAGCTAGATCAGATGGCGTTCTTTTTAGATGTGACTTTAGAGTAGAGGGGAATTATTGAAACGGGATTTGTACAGTGTTCCACGCCTACGTGTGTGTTTGTATATTTTTGCGTTTGTGTGTGTATTGTGTTTGTTTCCCGGGGAAAACACTCACGAGAAACACCGGCTGTTGTTATGCCTGCAGTGACGTAAAGTTACTCCGTTCTCCACTTGTAATTATGCCGTTACAAGCTTCAAAGTTGTATTTATCATCTGAATTTGCCGAAACAAGTTTAATATTCTGAAAGCCAAGACTTTGTTTAATTGAAATCAGATAAAACAAACTGTAACGGACCCTGCCGTGTTATCTGATTACTATGCCGTACATTCATAATTTCAACGGGAGGGAGGGGGAGCGGCGCTGTGGAAGAGCAGAGTGGCACGTGAGAGGCGAGCTGTCATCTTCCCTTTACAAGCTTAAAAAATGCCTGTAGCTAATGAGATTGAATATAACAATAAAAAATAACAAAATATACACAGCTAGATCAGATCGCATTTTAGATGTGATTTTAGAGTAGAGGGGAATTATTGAAATGGGATTTGTACACGGCATCCGCCGCTGTGAAAATGTGGGGCAGGGCTGAAAAGTGGGGGGGCCAATGGCCCCCTGGCCCCCCCGCTTCCGGCGCCCTTGATGTGAGGGAGCGTGCCTGGTGTGGCCGCACCTCGTGCTGTCTCATAGTCAGCATGGCAAAGTTAGCGGCTATTGCTAACTGCCGTCTATTGCAGAGTAAGCTCTGTATTATGAACATTAAACCACCAATAACAAAACTAGGCAAGAATATATGCACTTACATTTTCATGCACGCACACATGTCCACAACACACAAATTGAACAACACTCCCGATTGTCCGATCGCTACTGGTGTTAGTGATGGCAGTTTGACACTGAAGCTTCGAACGGAGCTTCAACCCTGGACTTCCTATTCCATAGAAGCAGTGCTTCGAAGCTTGCTTCAAATCACGTGACATGTGACGTCCGAAGCAGCAACTGCTTCAAATCACGTGACATGTGACGTCCGAAGCAGCAACTGCTTCATTTCCTGAATGAATCACTTGACTGGTTCACGGTCCATTCACGCGATTCAATGCACTGCCTCGTCTCGATTCTGACAGGTGACAGGTTGAAACAGTTTCAAATTTGAGCGCTTCAACACTTTATGACCGCTCTAAACAATGCGCAATGTGTGGGTTGTTGTCGTAGTTTGCGTTGTTGCTGTTGAGTTGTTGGCATTGCATTTGAATTGGATCATTATAGAGCAAGCCAGGAAGAAAGATAGGTCGTTATGGCTCGTGAAACACTTCGAAATGTGGAGAAGCTGTGAACAAAAAGAAAATGAGTAATATAAAAACACTTCAATGGTCTAAGGCAGGGGTGCCCAACCTTTTTTGAACCGAGAGCTACTTTTAAAGTTGCCAGTCTGCCGAGATCAACCAGTCCAAATAGAGAGGCGTAGCCATTACTGACAGCCTACTACCAGGTCAATACACACTTCTACTTGTATAAAACTGACCTTCGTACGATTAATACTTCATAAAATACTGCAGATCCTTTATCTTACCTCTTTCTAATCTACACACATACAAGTATTTAACTGAAGTTACACAACAGTGTTGTTGATACAGAGTTGGAGTTTATCCACACGTCACATACTACAGTGGGTCATGTTTTCAAGAAGCATTGAACAGTGCTGCCACATATGACACAGGGAAAAAAGAAAATACTCTGAACCCTTTCTTTGCCATTATATAAAAATAGCGTTGCTACAAAAGTATAAATGAGGCTTACTAATAAGACAACTCAGATCTGAAGCTACACAGGAATCTGCTGCCAACATGTAATAAAAAAGACAAAATTAATAGAATCAAACCCTTTTTTTTTGTTGCATTTTAGTAGATTATAAAAATAAATGCCTTTTTTAAAATAGGATGCAAGCAACACTAGTTTCTTAACCCGAATTGATAATAGACTATAATCAATTAAAACAGAACAGATCTTAATGTTTGCATTCTTATACCATTTTGTACAATAATTATAATGAATAAGTTCAAACAAACTAAAACTTACAGCTGATTAATAACGATATCTAACTTGAGTTTTTATTATATCAAAAACCTTTTGAAATTCTGTTATTTTTACTGTCCCCCAAAAGTGCGTCAGCAGCCTCCAGGAATGCTTCTTTCACAACTCCGCCGTCTTTGAAAGACTTCATGTGTTTCGCAAGAACGTGACTGACACGTTAAGATGCTATGGTAGCAGCCTTGCTCTTGTTGTTGGGCCGGGTGAAAATGGACTGCTGTGCATTTAGCTGTCCTTTCAGGCCCCTCCCCTTTTGGGAGCGTAGGGCAGAATTAGGCAATAGAGTCTGGCTGCAGACCGCAGCAAGGAGGCGGATCGTATAGGGGCGGATCCTATAGGGGCGTTTCCTAAAGGGTTATGAACCCTGCCCCCACGTATTTCTTAAAGGTATATGACGCTCTCTGTTTCTCATTTATTGTAATGCTTTGAATGAATCATAAACGAACTTTGAAAAATAATAATTATAATTAATTTGCATAAAGAATGAAGAGTATACAACCCACAGAGAAGACAAATTCATAAATTGTAGGCATATCATTTTTCACTGTTTGTGCAGTGGTAGTAATTATTATTCAAATCAATCAACTACGTTTTATGGAAGATATTGCTGTATATCATTTAACAACATCAGTAGAGGTTTCTGTACACCTAAAATACTGAAGTTTAAGTTACTGTCCTGATGTGTATCATTAATTTGTTCATGTTGTGTCTGGTGGTAAGATTAATAAAAAAATTAAAAATATATACAGTAAGAGGAAAGAGGAAAGTCTTTGTTAAACAAACATTTTATTGGCTGTTCTAATTATTATTAACCCCATCAGCCATTTTCTTGGAAGGTGCCTCCAGCATCATAGAAACAGTCAATGCTGCAGAATCCTGCCAGCTCATCTTCCGAGTACATCCCAGAGAGTTGTCCTCTGCGGCCATGTCCCCTGTAGCCTTCCGAGTCCTTGTACAGGTTGCGGCACTGTATGCAGCTGGAGATCTGGAACGGGATCCTGTAGGTCTTGGTGTACTCCACAGAGTACTTCTTCCAGGTCACCACACCTGATGAGAAAATAAAAGAAGGACTCAATTGTCTAAAACGTAGGTTCAGGTTATTTTTTATTTAAGCCAGAAGCCTACAGCTGCCACCCAAAAAAAACCTTTGCGCTGGCCTTTCTTCAAGCCAGACAAGCAGTCATGTCACCTATAACTTATTGTGGTTCTATAAGTGAGTGACTTTACCTGTAGCATAGAGATGCAAATGTGGGAGTCTAAATGAAAGCGTAACTTTTTGAATGAGCTTTGATATTTATATTTTAATTGGATTGCTTATTAGTTTATGCAGCTCAAGGGGTCACATAATTTGTATAATATAACTAGTGCTTTTGCTTATCGATATTAGGAAGTTTTTATTATGTTACATTCTTTAACCTGTCTTTGATAGTGTTAGGTGAGCTATTAAGCATGTGTTAGATGACCAGTGACTCTTCTCTAATCATATTACTTTACCACATTTCTGATGATGCCATAACTAATGTTACATAATTATAGAAGACACATCCGAAGTGTTATTTTTACATATTGATTAGCAGCCGACATTTACTGAAAGGATGCGTCCGTCTTTCGTCTGGTTCATTACAACTAGTAGTTACAAACTGTTACAGTTACAACCTTAATCAGTACCGCACATCTTATTACTCAATTCAACCAACCAAGCTAGCCATGTTGTCTATCCGAATCCATACCATATTATTTGATTAAGTTACAGTATGTAGGGCAGGCCTACTTATATTTCCAAGATAATACAACAGTACACAACAGTACACTAGCATAATGCTAAGTGCTGGTTAGCATCACAGCATATACGCTAACCTTAGGTCAATTAGATGATCAGCTTTGGTAACAAAAATCAGTATTGTTACCGAGCCTGATAATCTATTGACCTATCTAAGCTTAACGTTATTACAACAGTAGAGTAGGCCTGGTTGCAAACGGGACTATAGGCCAACGTGTTTATAGCATCATGCTAAGTTAGCATTTAATACCACCATTTTTTTTACCACATACAACTATTATTTACTTTATTAACGCTTAACGAGGTTGGACAGTCGATGTTGTACTTTGATAACGAGACAATTGTGTGTTAAGAAAAATGACATTACAATAAATATAAACATGCATCTCTGGAAAATACTATTACCGCTGTTTCAACTTGTTGTTCGGCCATCGTGAAAGAACGAATGACTTATTCTGTGAGGATTTATAAAAGCAGCTGGAATCCCTTAAATTGCATTACTGCCACCTACAGTATGTATTTCTGCTGAGTGTCATTATTCTATTGGATAAAAAAAGTTAGGATCCGCCCCTATACGATCCGCCCCTATACGATCCGCCCCTATACGATCCGCCCCTATACGATCCGCCTCCTTGCCAGACCCATCTCGAATTAGGAGGGAATTCCGTCTCGTAGCGTTTGTGCACTGTTTTGAAATGCCGCTCCTAAATTACCATTCTTCGATAAAGCCATGCTCGCATTGCAGATGAGACAGATGGACTTTGAATTGGAATAGATACAAAAATAATCATCCTCCCACTCCGAGTGAAAATGATATATTTGGTGCTTTTTTGCTTCTGCCATTGCGGTCTTGTGTGTGTGTGCGGACTGTCACTCCTGTTGTTGACACGGACAACGTCAGCGAACGTTGCCCACTGCCACGTCACGTCAGCCCACTGCCCACAAGCCACGCCCCGACACATGGGGTCACGCCGGCCAATCACAAAGCTTTGATGCGTTCAAGTGCATTATTCTGGCACAGGAAGATTATGTTATAGGACATTAACGATAAAACTGAATATTGTTGTTCTATTTTTAGACACATCTCGCGATCGACTGGGAATCTCCCCAAGATCGACCAGTCGATCGCGATCGACTGGTTGGGCACCCCTGGTCTAAGGAATAGATAGCCCAGTGGATAGAGCCGGCGGCCAGGATGCAGCGATGTCTGGTTCAAACCCCGGAATGGATGTATTTTAATCATTGCTTTTCAACTTTAATACTTTAATGACTGATAAAAGGCCCTCTCCGCCCAAAAACATGTCTAGCACTCTCTAGTCTCTTCTCAATAACCCAATACACACAATTATCAATCTTTAATTGCAAATAGAACATGATATTCAGTCTTAGTGTGTGTGTGCATTGAATATTTTTCAAGGCAAAGATACGTTAAACCCACTGCAGCCTTGCACTTCGCCAGGAGAGGTCGATGTAACTGAAGCTTCGAGAAATGAACCTATTTCCGACACAATTGTCCAAGTGGTTCGACGCTTCATTCAAAGCTTCATTTTGCCATCACTAACTGGTGTCCTGGCGATCTCGTTATGACAACAAGTGCACGTTAGTGCTGCAATGTGGTTGAAACCATTCGGGCTTATGCTAGGGGGTGCAAGGAATAGTCCAAGTAATGGGGGAGTTTTATACAGAGAGGCTTGACATTTGTCACAGATGTCAATGACAGTGGGATATATTTGTGACAATCGTGCCTTTGAGAAATGAACCCTGTACAGCACCTTGAACTGTATGAGAGTGAGACGAGCACAGGATGAACTCGTATGAATCCTGTTAAGAGCAGTGTCCCACCAGTGATCACCCAAGCTCACACCTAGCTCAGCCTCCCAGGCAGCCTTGATTTTAGTGGTGTGTGAGCTGTCATTGGTCAGGAGTTTGTTATATATTTTTGAAATAAGTGACTTTTGAAGGGGATCAGAACAAAGAAACTCATCCCATATTTGATTAGGGGGTAGAGAGGGAAAGGATGGAAACAGGGATTTGGTACAGTGTCTAATTTGGAAATAACGAAAAAGGTGAGATGTTGGGAGTTCGAATTTGCTTGATGGATCAGTAAAACTACGAAAGGTATTATCCTTATAAAGCTCACTAAAAGTCCTCAGGCCCTTCTCATGCCATACAGAGAAAGTGGGGTCAGATAAGGCAGGTCGGAATAAATGGTTTCCCAATAAAGGAGCTAAAGTGGATGCAGAAGTAAACTTAAAATGCCTCCTAAATTGGTACCAGATTTTAAGAGTAGAACTCACAACAGGATTATTTGTATGTCCAGAGAGGTTGGTGGGAATGGAAGAGGTAAGTAGTGCCATAGCGGAGGATGAGCCACAAGACTGTGCCTCAAATCTACACCATGGAGGATGCATTGATTTTGACCAAAATGAAATCTTGTGTATGTGTGAAGCCCAATAATATAATTGGAAGTTCGGGAGAGACAATCCAGCGTTAAGTCTACATCTTTGAAGAATAGATTTACTTATTCTGGGTGCCTTTCCATTCCATAAAAAGCCAGAAATAACCTGATCAAGAGTCTTAAAAAATAGTTTAGGTAGGAATAGAGGGAGACATTGGAAAATAAATAGGTACTTAGGAAGAATGTTCATTTTAACCGTGTTAATTTTACCTATAAGCGACAGAGGTAAACTCTTCCATCTTTGAAGGTCTGACTTGATTTTAGACATTAAAGGGGATATATTGGCAGCGAAAAGGGAACTTAGTGTTCTTGTTACATTGATTCCTAGATACTTAAAGCCAGAGGGGCTCAATCTGAAGGGGACATCGGACTGGTTCAATTGTGATGCCAGAGCGTTAACAGGATAACATTCGCTTTTGGAAACATTCACTTTGTAACCTGAGAATGAGCCAAATTTAGTAAGAAAGGATCAAATTGCTGGTATAGAGTTACTGGGGCTTGAGACATACAACAATAAGTAATCCGCGTACAGGGACAATTTAAATTCCATCCCCAGCCGCGATATCCCAGTTGTGAGGGAATAATTTTGTCTTTACTCCTAGATATTTAACCTTATTGCCTGTTGACGTTAATAACCAACCAATATTCTGTTATCTCCTTTAAGGAATGTGCTCCAGCACTTAAGTGTCAGTTTTATGGCCTAAATATTGGATTGTTCTTTCTTAGTAAGTTCCCATGTTCATTACAATTGTGGTCTTACCTTGACTTGAAGATGAAGTCCATGCTATCCTTCTGGACAACAATCTCCATTACATTTTTGTAAAAGTCCTCCTTATCTTCCTCTAGTTTCAAAAGTCTAGCTTGTTGTTTGCGTCTGCATAGAATAACAGTATCAACAAGAACCTGTGGGCTCACGTGCGCCCCCTTCAGTGCGGCAGAGGTTATGGCTGCCTCTCCTGGTGCTTTTTTCATTGCCGTTGTATGATGAGACCAGCGGGCCTAAATATCATATATACGTGAAATAAGTTATTTAGAGACTATGGATGGCGAGGATACATGTAATAAAGGGATCTACACACATTACATTGGTGACATACAGTGAGATGGTGGAGGCATGTGCTTAGGGCCCGCTTTCCAGCCAGTTTCTGTGGGGTGACGCATTCTGAGGTGAGGCAGAGCTCATCTGTGCCTCACCTCACCACACAGTAACTGGCTTGAGCGCGCTCACAAAATAAGTGCCTGCGCTACATTAGTGCCCGCACTCCAGCCAGTTACTGTGGGCTTACGAGAGGCAGAGCTCGTCCCTGCCTCACTCCTCATCGCTCACAAGTAGGAGTTGTAGCGGAGCTCGGCCAATTTGCTGATTTTGACTATAAAAAGCGATTGGAATCATACAGAAATCACACTTACAACACAGATCAGTGGAGACATTTTATTATTATTATTACTATTGAGTTTTTCATGTTTTTCCGTTACATTGGAGTATGACAGGTGAGGCTCTGCCTCCCCTGACTGCACGTTGCTGCTGTAAACTAGTTAAAAGGTATATCGAGAGAGAGGCTGGGCAGAATTGACATGACAACCCACCCGTGCAGTCAGAATCTTTTGCTGCTGTGACTTGTGATATGAATTCTCCGGCCGTTGACTTGTAATAAACTACCAGTGTTTGACATCAAAGCTCCAACTCTCCTTGTGTCTCTCTGAGTCCTGACTCTCCATTGCTGCAGAAGTTTCCCTTACAAATTGGCGTTGTCGGCAGGATACCAACACATCTTCAGAACTGGTAAGTGTAATTTCAAATCCACATTTGGACATTGCCTTACCAGAATCTGTGATTGACGGTATCCTAAAATTACCTGTGAAACTGAGCGGTTGTGTTTCATTTTTTGGTTAATGAACATTTGGCTGATTGCCTCTGTGCATGCTGCTTGGGACGAAAGTACCATACAAGCATGCACAGCTTATGTTCAGAGTAACCTTAAAGAAATACATCAGTAAAATGGAGCTTCTGTATTCTAAAGCAATGTAAAGATTTGTATTGGACAAATCGCCAAATTCTGGGGGTTTCAGCGGCCAACACAGCAGTTAAAAATAAGCAGCCCGAGATATTTCCCCCCATAGCCTCTCTAAACACGGCTGCAGAAGCAGCCGCGGGGGTGTGTGTAAATATTCCCCCGTGTCTGGGTGGCTGCAGCCGTGCAGCTGAGAGGATGAAAGTCACAGCTTTTTGTGTATATCTTTAACTCACACCACCGCCGTCTCTATTAAAAACGAGATGGTCTAAAAGCACTCGTTGTTTGTGAACTTCTTCTACATTGCTGGCAAGGCCGGGGCAGCGCGAGGTGCGTGCATCACCCGATGCGCCACAGCTCTCTACTCTGCTGGAGGAATATTTTCTACGTTGCTTGGAAGAGTTCACTACATTATTGCTGGAAGAGCTGGTGGCGGTCCGGGGTGCATACATACAATTATAGGCTAATTGATCACGGGTGGGCAGTGGCAAGGCAAGGCAAGGCAAGTCAAGTCAAGGCAAGGCAAGGCAAGACAAGGCAAGGCAAGTTTATTTATATAGCACTTTTCAACACAAGGCAATTCAAAGTGTTTTACAAAAAATGAAAGACATTAAGAAAATGGCATTTAAAATCAGTCATTAAAAAGAAAAGCTAATAAAATAAACATTAAAAGAAAAAATACATGGAGTTCAATTAAACATTAAAAGAAAAAATACATGGATAAAAGTTACAGTGCAGTCTAAGATATGAATAGTTCAATTAAAAGCAGCGACAAATAGAAAAGTCTTCAGCCTGGATTTAAAAGTAGTCAGAGTTGCAGCGGACCTGCAGGTTTCTGGGAGTTTGTTCCAGATATTTGGAGCATAATAACTGAACGCTGCTTCTCCATGTTTATTATGTAGATTTTTTAGTCAGACCTGTAAAGACACCATTGCAGTAGTCAAGTCTACTGAAGATAAAAGCATGGACAAGTTTTTCCAAATCCTGCTGTGACATTAGTCTTTTAATCCTAGATATATTCTTTAGG